TTTTTTTTTTGATTCAGTGACGAAATTTGTGACAGATTTTTAGAGACGGAATATATTCCGTCACAAAAGTCAATAAATTCTTGTCCGTCACAAAATTTAAAATTCCCTCACAAAATGCGTCACTATTAGCGATGCTATTTTTTTCGTCACAAAATTCGTCACAAATATTAATTTTTCTAGTAGTGCAATAAGCACCATTAGATGCTCTATTCTAGTTCAAAGGTTTAAAATCATTTCCCAATCTCTTAAAAACCTCAAGTTCAAGTTAAGGGTGATCAAGCCATAACAAGCATTATGCACAGAAACAAAGCAATAAAATTGAATAACAACTGAGATTGATTACTTACAGCTTACACATGATGAGAATGGTTTAGTAGAGTAATCAGTCACTTAAAATGTTCATGTTGTCATAGGAGATCTCTATAAGTGAATGCGTGATAACACATTAGTTGAAGCGTTTGCATGTGATATATGTTTTGGTGTGTTCATATGCATTGATGGATGTCTTGATTGATATGATGTGGATAAGATACATGTTTGCTTTTGAGTCTAGCTTTCATGTATATTTTGCTATGATGTTGTAGGTTATATAGTTATTTTCTATACTTACATGTTTTCAAACTCTTACTTACCCTTTTTGTTTTTATGTAGTTTGAACTACAATGATCATACGTTATATAAGAGTATATAAGGACTAGGCTTGAGGAGCAAATGTTGATGGGTGGTGTAAACTTTTGTTGACGGCGATGCTACTTCGTTTAACTTGTAAAGTCGTGTTTGACTGACACTAAGATATAAGATTATTTTTGAATTATTGTATGTATGTATGTATGTATAAATGAATGACACGTTCTCTCCTTTTAATATTGTATGTTATAGTAATCTAATTTTCATTGCTAGTTATAATGATTTTGTTAAGTGTCGTGACCAGGACGAATTGTTATAATAAATATAGCTAGACTTATTTAATTTTTAGAGTAAATGTATTCCTCCTAATATATATACATATACATACACATTTTTAGGACAATTTTTTAAAAAAGATAATGAATTAAAAGTTAATTGATTTTCGACTATTAAAATAACTACTTTAAAAAGTCAATAATTTTATTACATATAAAAATTTATGATTAAATAATAATATATAAAATTTATATTATAAGTAAAATATATCATACATAAATTTTAATATTATTTAATTATAAATTACTATATAAGATAAATTTATTATTTTTATCATAATTTATATTAAAGATGATCTTTTATTGGTTTATAATATATATAAAAAATTATATTGACAACATATGTCAAATAAATTGTTTAAAATATATTATAATTTGATTCACAAAATAAAAATTAAATAAATATATGGATACAATTTCAAGAATTGTGTTGGTAATATATATATATATTTATAACAACTTTTAATAAGAATTTAATAATTGATTAAAATTTATTAAAAATATGAAAATTTATAAAACTAAGATAATATGAAATATTTTATATTATAATAAGTTTTATTTATAATAAAATACAATATGAATATTTTAAAATAATAATTAATTACTTTACAAATTAATAGATAAAAAAATGTAAAAATTTAAAAGAAATGTTTGATTCGATGGAATGTGGTTGTAGATTTAGTTCAACTCTAATTCTATTGCTGAATAATTGAAATTATACATTCAAAAAATAGTACAATGAATGTAACTTTCCGTGTTTCATCAAAGTTTTGTCAACTTTTTGCTGTCGAGAAAAAACTTTTGTTAACTTTTCTCAACACGCTGAGGAGTGTCTAGAACGTACGTGCATTATTATTATTATTATTATTAAGAAGCTTAGTAGTACATTCTTAATTTTTTCAAGTCTACTAATAATTAAAGAATATATTAAAAATCATTAAGAATATATTAAGAAAATATTTAATATTACATTAATATTATAAAATGAGAATTAAATTAAAATAAATAAAAATTATTAAAACGTCAAACAAAATGAAATCAAAAGAGTAAAAAAGAACTATGAATGAAATATGATAGCAATAAGATTGAAATGTAATATTTTAGTATTTTACGCACAAATTTTTATCATCATATTGTAAATTAAGAGTTAATTAGTTAGGACATTTTTCTTAAACAGGTTGGGTTGCTACTTGCTAGTGTTTATATCTGTATATTAGAGGATGAATAATTTATTTTCGAACATCTATGAGAAAATTGATATATTTTTAACAAAGTAGATTTATGACCACTTTCGGAAAATTATACAAGGAAGATTAGTTTCTTATGCTTTATTATTTAATTTCATTCTTTTTACATATTCTTAGAAGCTAATTGCATAATCTTAAATTTTGCAAGAATTTCCAAAGTTTAACACAGCTGTTTGCACAAGTACCCAATGTTTGGCAATAAACTTAAAAATATCCTACATCAATCAAGTGTTAAACCTTGATACAATATTTTACGATTATTATAAAACTTAACACAATTGTCAAACATCAGTTCTTATTGAAAAATTAAGTATTTAGTAAGATTTGTGTGTTTTAATTATTAGTGTACTCGTATTTATCAAAAGGAGAATTTATTTCAAGATGACAACTCAGAAGAAGTGAAAAAATTAAAACTATAAAAAATTAGATATCTTGCACAATGTAAGTGAACTTTCAAGATTCATAAATTGTATAAAAAATAAATAAAATAAAATAAAACCTTCAGCTCAAAGCAACAAAAGGTGTCTTGAGATATGTTAATGAGACTTTAAATTATAGATTCAAATTTGTCAATAATTTACTTTGATGATGGCAATTGGGTAGGGTCTTTAGATGACATAAAATGCATCTCAAAAGTTACTGTTTTAATAGTAGGTCCAAATGTTGTTTTTCAACCCTTATGACTATAAAAAATGCTAACTAGTTTGCACTTTGACTAAGAGACAACTAATGCGATAATGATAGATAATCAGTTAGTCATAGTCACCTCTAAAAATCTAGTCTTTCATGGAAAAAAAAATGAATTTTAGTATCTAAATATTTTTTCTCAAGGATATTAAGAGGGTTGGTGTCATGTGCTTAAAGTATTGCAAGACTGAAGACTAAAACTTCACAAAAGTTCTTTTGGGTCACTAAGAGAGAAACTTGGGACTATTTACTTTATTTTCTGTTACTTAACAGATGACTAGTAGCTATTGTTTAGGATTTAGGAAGTTTGGTTTTGCTTTTAAAATTTCTTTCTGTTGCAAAATTTGTATACAAGTAGATGATCATTCAATAAATTTATGCGCTCCTCTTCCTTTAGTTTATGAGATAAGTTAACACTTTTCTAAACAATGCGACAAACATTAACAAATGAAAGTATAAAACATGCTTTAATTTGATGAGCAAATCTAGTAGTAAAGATGAAACCACTAAACTTTGATATATAACTCATCAAATATATTGACAATTACAGTGACGGGATGCATGTGCAACCTTATTTTACACAAACACACGACCGAAAATTAAAAAGGTAAAAACAGAAACATGGATCAAATTAAAGTGATGATAGTGAAATATATATCAGTTAACATCACCACCACTTAGAACAATGCATTGTTGAGTACCAATTACCAAAGGCTTCTATAGCAACCATAGATTATACATAACCCCTGCTCTTCAAACTCTCCACTGCTTCCTTGATAATTTGTTCTGCAGGAGTAAACTCCAGACCTAAATCCATCAATTTTTGGGCTCCATTCTTTGCTCTCAACAACCCTGGTTGGGTATCATGCTCCAACCTATAAGCAAAGAGGTTATAATTAAGTAATGGATGTTAAAGTCTCGTGCTTTGGATGTGGTTCAAATAATTTATTTTTTTTTTTTTTACTTCAGGGTATGTATTAATTTACCCAGAAAATTAAATATTAGTTGTAGAAAACTGACCGAACCACGTTATACTGAGGGTATAGATTAGCAACAATGTCAACAAAATCAATCCAATGACGAATAGCTTCAACACACAAGTGCCTTCCGGAAGCTTTTTTGTTCTCAAGAGCCAATATATGTGCCATGGCTACATCCTTAACGTGAGCCATTCCCATGAAGAAATCCTCGTACGTCTCTTTGTCCCCTGTAATAAACAAGAGTTGATTCAAAGTATGACCGTAAGTGCATGCTGCTCAAATCTCTCTTTTGGTCTCTGTTGTGCTAGTTGCAACCACTAGCCCAAGTTTTACTAACAATCCAAACATTTACTTCCTATTGATTGTAAGAAAATGAATGAAACGAAAATAGGGTAATCAGATTTTAAAAGTAAGAGTCGAGTAGTATTTCCTACTATCATATAATCGCATGATTTAGATATAACAATTGTTGTTATGCCCATGAATCATAGGCGTACATTTTAATCTTCATATTATTGATAAGAAATATTTGTCAATTTTATTAATAATTAATCTTGGTCAAATAGTCTTAATATAAAAAAAACCATAAACTTATTTCATATAACATAAAAATATATATGATTAGATGACATACATATATCATAAAACTTATTTCATCATATAACTTTTTTTGTTCACTTTATTTTTTTTTCCTTCTACTTTTCCTTCTTCCAATTAAAGGCATCTGACAATTCAATTGTAGAAGAGCAATTGAGTGAGACATATAATTTTATTGATAAGCATTTGGTTTTAACTTTTAGCGGGTCTTTAGAAGTTCAGGTGAAGGTTTACATTGGAATTGTGCGGGGGACATGCCCAACCCACGTTCAAAAAGTAGACAAGAACAAGATTGATAATGATGTACTGTTTTCCTTTGAGAATTTGATACTAATTTTTGAAAATAAATATTTTCAACATTAGTTACTTCAATTTAAACTTAGTTTTAATGAAAAATAATTATATAAATGGTACATGACTTAAAATCAAATTTCCAAATGGCAATATCTAAACATATAGATGGGGTGATGGATTGATTACCTTTGAGAAGACCAACAAGCATTGCCATGCTGGAATTGATTCTTGGGGGAATCAAAGGGCCCAAGGCTGTGCCTGGATTTATCATGACCACATCAAAGCCTGTTTCCTTAGCAAACTGCCACCCTGCTTTCTCTGCCAGAGTCTTTGCAATTGGATAGTATAACTGGGTACACAAACATATAGTCAATTCTATTTTATTTTAGGTTAACTTTAAGTTTTTCATGGCCTGTTCTTTTATTTTTATGATCAGGCAAAAGATTTTTAGAATGGAGAAATTATTTTTTTTAGTCTCTAATTCTATAAACTTTATCTTTTATTGTTACTAGCACGAAAACCTGCTTCTTAACTTTTTAAAATAAAATAATAATAAAATAAATGATTGTGGTTGGTTATTTAGAGAAAATGTGAAAAATTGTTTTTCTCTTCACATTTAAAAGATATAATGATCCACTAAAAAGTAATATTCTCTTCTATAATAAATATAGATAAATAAAAATATTTAATTTTAGTTCCAATACGTATTATTTTGAAAGAAAAAATTATATTTTTTTAATTCATAAATTTTTGTTAACTTTCACTTTAATTCTTGAACAAATTTTATTTAGTCTTAATCCTTAAATTTTTTTGTTCTTTATAAACAAAAAAATCTTGACACCATGAACCAAAATTAAAGGATAAGATCAGGAACTAAATAAAAATTAACAAAATTTCAAAAATTAGTAAAATATTTATTCAGGAACTAAAACAGAAAATCGATATAAAACTCTATGAATAAAAACATATTTATATGTATAACTTTATTTTTTTTAATGATACATAAACTTTATCTTTTAATCTCTAAAATAAACAACAAGAACTAAAACAGACCAGAAATAATATGTATAATATATAGACTAATGACTAACATAAAATGATTTTAACTACATAAAGTAAAGTAAAAGGAAAATATATATTAGCATTATTGTTGAGAAATGATAATTTCATGGACTCAAAGAGGGAAAAAAAACCTATAGAAGAAGCACTAACCCCCTTCTCCTTGCAGTATTCAAGGTCAGTCCAACAGTCTTCTCCCTTAATCTTATCAGCTGGCCAATTTGGGCTCGGCGTTATGGCGGAGATGGACGACGTCGCCACCACTCGCTCCGCCCCCGCCTCCTTCGCCGCCTTCAGCACATTCACCGTCCCTTTTATGGCCGGTTCCAATATCTGCTTCTGCATGTATTTTCCCACACGTACCCCACACAAAAATAATTAATTAAACACTAACATATATAGTAACATTTAATTTGGACTACACATACATATATAAACTTTATGTCACATTTTTAATTATTAACCTCAGGATCTTTGACTTGACCAATTATGTTAGGACATGCAAGGTGGATTACGCCGGAACAACCCTTCACGGCTGCAGCAATGGAATCCATGTCAAGAAGATCCATTTCGAAGAGACGGAGACCACTCTTAGCTCCCTCCATTTCCTCCAAATGCTTTGTCTCCTTTTCATCCTCTGCAAATTATTATTGAGTAACATGTTCCAAACTCAGCACAAACTTTTTTCTACTTAATATTAATTATTGTTTCTAAACAAAACCAACAAATAGTTACAGAAATAATAACTTCATTTTTAAAATGAACATTTATTTATTTATTTTTTAAATAAAGTGGACCTTCTAGTCAATTGATGACTGACTGAATGGTGTTTACATGAAATGCCTTCTGTATATGATTTTATTAATTATTATTATTGTTATGGCATGAAAAGTTTAATTGTGCTCGTAAATATTAACCATGAAGATTAAAAGTGACAAAATAAGGCCTTGTTTGTTTATTGTTTAGAAGAAGAAGAAAAGGTTTCCGTTTTATAAAATGTATTTATATTCTAGTGTAATTTTGTTTTCTAAAAGTTTTGCTTTGAGAACTTGAATAGAATACTTGAAGAAGATTAAAAAAAAAAGAAGAAGAAGAAGAAAGAATTCCTCAGTTATATAGTGCGAAATTGATTATTCATCATTGATCATTGTGAACTTATTTAGCAAACAACTTTTAAAACAAAAGAGTGAGAAGAGAACTAAAAAGTTAAAACCCTAATGAATTGTGCAATGTATATATAGTGTGTAACTGATATCTTGGACGGTGGCATGAACGGTGTAGCCCCGCTGAAGGAGGAGGAGCACCACCCATGATCCAATGGCGCCGCTGGCTCCGGTCACACAAACCACCTTCGACATGATTGGTGTTAAAGATTTCAGTTATATTGTGTACGGTGAAGAATGGAGAGAGTCCTAGTATATATATAGAACAACCAAAATTAATCTTTCACATCCCATTATTGTGCACACTCAAGGGGGAAAAATAATAAAGGGAAGAGCAAAAACGTGCATGATTAATGTGATGGAAAAATAAAGGAGATATATTTTGTCGTTGATTGTGAAAACTGAAAAATTAGTTGGGAAGGGACAAAGTGATGAATAGGACAACACTATAGCTACATGTGCTTGGAGTTGCATAAATTTAATTTGTGTTGAAGGAATTAGGAATGTAAATAAACATACATTCATATATAGAGGGAAAATCACAAGTGGATATTAATTCTATGAAAAATTGAAATATATTTCTATGACAAGTTAATCCAATATATATAGTCAAATATATGTTAACCCCATCACATATATATTTATATAGACAATTCTCAATTTTCATATACATATTTATTTTGGAAAATTTTATCCTTTTAAATAAAGTAATGGATAAATATATGAGGACCTATATATGTCCGATACTTATTACTATAATTTTAGTTTTTGAATTGATAAAAAGAAAATATAAATTGTGAGGAGGAGAGGTGTTAGGCATTGGGGTCAAAATGGAAATTTATCAGTGTCATATCATGGGGGTTGCTTTCGGGCGTAGGGCAAACGAAAGAGAAATCCTTGTCGTATTAGTTTTGAGAAGTATATTTCATAACATGCATCCTCCAAAAGTAGAAGTCGATTAAAGATTTGAATATTTCTTTCACCACCTCAAATGGAGATGCTTCTTTACAAAAAAAAAAGAAAAAAGAAAAAGAAAAAAAAAACATTAAAAAAACAACGAGGCTGGCATTCAAAACTCAATTATAAAAGTGGGAGCAGAACACATTATTATGTCTCCATGTCTCCTTCAAATTAAAATCATATTACATCGATTCAAATGTCAGATAATGTAAAAATGTTTCGGTAATTTCAACTGATGTAATTTTTACACTGATTGGTTTTAAATGTTTTCAAGCCTTTATGAATACTTTTTTTTTTATATATATAGATGTAGAAACGATCTATTTAATTATAAGATAATTTGTGTTTGATTATTTATTGTGTATGAAAAATATCCACATTTCTCTTTGGCATTCATCAACAGCACATGCCTCATCCAAATGGCACTTCTCACAATAACCTTCAACCGTGTACATAATTATTGATTTTGTGAATGGGTTCAATGTTTGAAATTGCTGAAACTTTCTTGAAATAAAACTTCCCTTAACCGGTTAAATTTCAGTTAAATCAACGACTTGTTTAGAATTGTGCCCAAACGTGGGACTTGGATACATATGTTTTGAGTTTTGACATGCATTAATGATGATTCTCAATTTTCATTAGTGGAACCTATACGTGTGCAAAGCATTAGTAAATGGAATTGAATTGAGTAATGAAGATGAGACCGCTCAATCTTTTAATAATCACATGAGATGATAAATAAGAAATGTTGCCAAATATTGATCCTTACAGCGACTGTTACAGTTGACCCTTATTTTAGACTACAATTATACGCACAGAACCGAAACCAAAAGTAGAAACAAAAACATAAATAACATGAACAATGAGTCAAAGGCAGCAATGGTAGAAGAATATTAACACCATCACTACTTGTAACAGTGCACTATGCAACAACAGAGGAATTAGACATAGCCTCTACTCTTCAAACTCTCCACTGCATCCATGATGATTTGGTCAGCAGGAGTGAACTCTAGGCCTAAATCAATCAGCTTCTTTGATGCCTCCTGTGCACTTGCTCTCAACAACCCTGGTTGGGTATCCTTGGGCAACCTATAAACAAACAAATTAAAGTTATTAATACTTGGATCATGGACTAGTTATAAAATTTAATTATATAAAAATAATTTGTGTTAATATTTTTTTTTTATTGTCATAGGTATTTTCCTATCTCTACTGAGTCAAAGATTAATTTCGTGTTCACGATATTGTGATTGATACTGGCATAATAAGTTTTCACACACAGAAGGGGTTGAATATGAATTTTCTACTAAATTAATAGTTCTCATGCATAAATATAAAGTGTGTAACTATTATGTTAACCCATCGAATTATAAGTAATTTGTATCGATATCTAATCATGTATTGTCATTTATAGTAAGATTGTTATTTTTTTAATAATTATTTTTGAAGATCACATTTAGAATAATACTCACTTTGCCACAGGGTATTCGGGGTATAATTCAGCGACTTTGTCCACAAGATCACTGAAGTGGCGAATAGATTCCACACACAAGTGCCTTCCGGAAGCTTTCTTGTTCTCAAGTGCCAAAATGTGTGCTGTTGCTATGTCTTTGAAGTGAGCCATTCCCATGAAGAAATTCTCGTATGTCTCTTTGTCACCTGTATTAAGTTACAAACGCTCATCTGCATGCTCTGTTTTGAGGTTCTTTTCAGCTCTGTATATGTTAAATGCTCTAAATAAAATTTACATGCACCGTCTTTCCTTTCTAGTTCTTGTGAAAATTACATTACCTAAATCTAGTGAACTAAAACAGCAACTCATATAGAAAACTTTGTGGTTAAGTATTAATTTAAACAATGTAATGGTTGAGGTTGTTATTATAGATAAGATTGTAAGTGGCTATCATTCCAAATCCCCATTTCTTAAAATATGGAGGATTCATATTAATTAAACTCCAACCGATAATTCATAAAGTGATGGTCATATACTCATATGTTACTTTGAACATATCATTGTTAATCAGTGCGTTTTATTCAAAATAAATACTTATACTAAAGATGATAGACATCTCAAACATAAAATTAGCATATTTATCAACCTTGGTGATACGATAAATTCGAATCACCACTAAAATAAACTTCAATATTATTTTAAAATTTGAGTTTTAACATTATTCAATTCAAAACTGCTGAATAAAAAAAGTCATTTTAACTTATATTCATTTAATCATATTGCTAATAAACATGTGAACTTTGATAATAAGTGTAAGAATAATTTCATTTTAAAAGAGGAGGATTAAGAATTGATGAAATACATGTATAACAAATTTAAGTATGTCAAGACCTCAATTATTATTTTTTTGGATCAATGGTTGTGAATGCATTTTATTTTCTTACTTTAGAAGAAACAAAACATCCAATCAAACAAAGAATTGCATCATGAAGTTGCTTTGTCTTGGAGGAAAAAAACAAGACAATATATTTCAGAAGAAATTTGCAGTGACATAAAAAAATCAGAAAGAAAGAGGCAGTTACGGTCCCCAAGAAAAAGGTGACAAAGCTAATACCCAAGAAGCATTTGGATATATTGTTGAGTGGTGATTGTTACCTTTGAGAACACTAACAAGCACAGCCATGCTTGAATTGATTCTTGGTGGAAGGAGAGGGCCCAAGGCAGTGCCAGGGTTGATCATGACAACATCAAAACCTGTCTCCTTTGCAAACTCCCAACCTGCTTTCTCCGCTAGAGTCTTTGCAATGGGATAATACAACTGCCCCACACACAAATAAAGATTAAGCATAGGTTGTCATCATGTGATACAGTTAAAGATATTTCTCATCCAAAAGAGAAGTGTACAAGAATTTGGAGAAATTAAAGTTCAGTTTGTGATCATAACTTCTCCACGTATTATAATATATTTGTTCTGCATGAAAAACATAATTTTTTTTTTCGTCCTTGGAGTAGCTACCGTTAATAGCAGTGACTAATCTCCTCGCTACATTGGAGGCACTTCAAAGGGTGGGATAGCTGACCCCAAGATTTAGCTGCATACACAAGGCAGGATTTGAATTCCTGACAACCCTTACTGTTGAACCACACACTTGGGGTTCATGAAAAACATAATTTTTGAAATGAGAAAAATATTTGTGTGGTATATAGTCATTTAATCTTGTATATGATATATTTTTTAAAATATGTTTTAATCACGTGAAATCAGCGAGTTTTTATTTTAGTTATGATAGAAAAAAAATTCTCGCTCTTTATTTTCTTAAAATTTGTAAATATAATTTTTTTCTTTATAAGGTGAGTATATTTTTATTTTTAATCTTCATAATTTTTTTATTTATATTGATCTAAAATTTAAAGTCATTATTTTTAACTTTTAACAATTATTTTATAGTAAATATAATATTGACAGTGATTGTGAGTAACAAGTAAGATTAATACTCAGAATTTATTTGGCTAAAAGGAAAAGAGAGATTTTAATGAAAGGAAAGGGAGGGTTAAAAATTATATTTGGCAGACAGAATGAGAGAGAAAGGAAGGGATATTAATGAAAAAGAGAAATAATTTTTTTCTTATTCAATTCGAGAGAAAGATTTTAAAAATTAATTTAATTTTACACTTATAATTTTTAATTTAAAAATATAAGTAAAGATATTTTAAACAATATGCAATAAATGTTTTAAAACATCTATCCTCCCTTACACAAATCCCCAAATATTAGAGAATAACCAAAATTGGATGATGACCATTAATTTCTCCTTCTTTATACTAAATACTAAATCAAACAAGACAAATTTATAAAAAAAAATTCTTCCTTCATTTTCTTTCAAGTAAACATCATTAACTTTTTAATAAACATAAAAGTAGTTAAATATAATTAATTATTAGTAAAAGTTAATATTGTTTGACGAAGCACTAACCCCCTTGTCCTTGCAGTAATCAAGATCGGTCCAACATTCCTCTCCCTTAATCTTATGAGCTGGCCAATTGGGACTCGGCATAATCGATGAGATGGACGACGTCGCCACCACTCGCTCCACCCCCGCTTCCTTCGCCGCCTTCAGCACATTCACCGTTCCTTCTATCGCCGGTTCCAATATCTGCTTCTGCATTTCCTCACACAACATATATTATTATCATTAATTCATTTATTAAACACCAACATATATACTAACATTTTATTTCGACCGCCACACCTATGTATAAACTTTATGTCAATTAATTAATTAATTAATGTTAAATCATGGTTTGTCACCTCGGGATCTTTGACTTGACCAATGATGTTGGGACATGCGAGGTGGATTACGCCGGAACAACCCTTCACGGCTGCAGCAATGGAGTTAATGTCCAGAAGATCCATTTCAAAAAGATGGAGACCACTCTTCGCTCCTTCCATTTCTTCCAAATGTTTCGTCTCCTCTTCATCCTCTGCAAGGGTCACAATTAAATTAATTAATTTCACAAATCATATACAAAAAGTTTTTTATTTTAACCCAACCAGAATCTTAGTCCATATTATTATTTATACGAATTAACTAGGTAGTAGCTACCTTCTTCAAGCATTGATGTGAGTGGATTTTTAGTTATTTTGTTGGCATGGAAAAAAAAAAAAAAGATTAATTGTTTTTCTAAAATTAATTACTCGTCAAGCTGTACAAGTGAGTGTGTGTGAGAGAGGAAAGGAAGATTAGAAAGTAATGAATCATAGTGCATAACTGAGATTTTGGACGGTGGCATGGACGGTGTAGCCACGCTGGAGGAGGAGGAGAACCACCCATGAACCGATGGCGCCGCTGGCTCCGGTCACACAAACCACCTTCGACATGGGTGATGTTATTGCTTTTAATAACTTGCTTAGTGGTAGTGATTTGAGATATGGTGGCAAAGCCAGTCATAGTCCTAGAATATATATAAAGAAGATCGTGTGGGGGATAATTTGAAAACTTTGGATAAACAGTCACATAATTTTGTATTAAGGTGAAGGAATTAATTAGAATTCAAAAGTAAGGCAGAATTGATTGTATTTAGATGCAAAAATAATGTGATTACAGACGTAATTTAATGCACTATAGCACTATAATTTAACAGAATTAAAAAGTGAGACTACATGTATCACTAAAACTCCATAAGACTTGAATCCTAAAACTCTTTCTACTTATGTAATCAATGTACTATAATAAAACATGATTTTGAGATTACTGTCTAAACTAAAAGCATCCTATGTCAATTTTTGGATAATTAATTCCATAATATATGCAACGTATTTGATTCGTTTAAGAAATTTTTTTTTATAGATATTTTTTATTATACGAGCCTCTATATCGAATTCCTTAACACATATTTAAAAAATAAGTTATTTATCAATTAAATCATACATATTATGTTAGTATAACATCTTGTTAGATAATTTATCTTTTCGAACATAAATGTGTACATAAATTAAAATACATTATGAATGATAGTTATTTCTTTTCAAATACTTAATGTAATTGCAAAATATACTATTAGTGAAACTTATACAACATTAAGTCTGTTGATTCATGAGTTCAGTAATGAAATACATTTATTTATCATTTTATAATAATAATTTAATTTAATTTTATCTTTATATTTTTTTTAAGAGTGTCAAGTTTTAATTAAATATATTTTTTAGATATTGTTGTTCAAAAAAGAAAAACATAATTAATTTTTCTGTACAGAAGATTCGAACCTAAAATCTTGCTTAAGAAGAATAAATTTTGTACCATTAAACTAACAACTTGTTTAAGACAATGTTTTATTATTTATTATAATTTATTAATATTTGTGATATTATAAATGAAATTCTTTAAATTAAAAGCCAAAATTTGTATAATTATTTGAGTCTCAATAAATTTAGTTAATACTTACTTAATTTCATTTTATTATTAAAATAACTTTAATATAATTGTAAATTAGTTTAACATGTTGGTTGTTATAAACTATTCATTACGAAAAAGTCATCTTTTTGAAAGGAGAGATTAATTATTAATTTTAAAATATTATATAAATCATGTTTAATAGTTAAATAGGAGATAAATAATAATACTTTTTAGGTTAAAATAATTTTTTTATTTTCTACTATTTCATTTACTTTATTTTTCAGTTTTTATAATTTAAAATAAATATTTTTAATTTGTATACTTAATTTTTTTTACTTTATAATTTAAAATAAATATTTTTAGTCTACATATAAATTTTTTAGACTTTTTTTTATATAATATTAACTTTTTCTATATTGACATGATAGAAATATTAAATTAACTTTATATTATATCAAATTTATTTTGTTAAAAATATTTTAAATTACATCTCTTGAAATTCCATACCTTACTCTCATCTAGAATGTTTACCGTTGACACACTTTTTTATCTTTACAAAATTAAAAACATATACTATATCAATATAAAGCAAATAATGTTAAAAAAAAAATTAACAATAAGAATCAAAATGATAAAAAAAATTATAAGTATAAAAGTTAAAAAATTATCTTAACTTATAAAAATTAAAAAAGTTGAAAAGAAATAAATATAGAAAAGGTATCTATTTTAAAACTTAAATTATGAAGTTAAAAAGATAAAATAATTAAAATTATGTTATTAAAAAAATATTACTGGTAAATATCTGTGAGTGTTAGTGAATATCTGACACGTGTACTTTTATAATTTCATCAGCGTATAACGACATAGTTGTGTGGCACGTGTTAAAAAATATAATGTGATGACAAGTAGAGTTGGTTTATGCTAGTAGGACACATGCACATGCAGTCACTGTCTCAATAGTTTTGAAATGTAACTTTCATGACACATGTCTTAAAACTGTAGGTATAATGATCAATGCCAACATTTACAAACAAAATAATAATAATAATAATAATAAAGCCAACAATCAGATGTAGGGCCCAGAATTAGACATATTATCTCCCTTTCCTAATAAAAAATGTAATATATATATATATATATATATATAAAAGGATTTGTTGATATTATAATAATAAAATAACTAAATGATACCTTTAATCATTTTTATTATAAAAAATAAATTTAATCGATTCAGTCATTATATTAATAATATTATAGATACGATTATATATATATATATATAATTTTAAATAATAAATTATAAAATAATTTTAAAATTATATAATTTTATATATTTATATAATTAATAAATATTATTAAATATAACGATTAAATTAATTATATTTATATTTATTAAAGATATCATTTAACTATTTTTTAACATCATATATAATTTTAACAAATCCTCATCATATATATATATATATATATATATATATATATATATTAAAAATTTTATTCGTACAATTTATTTTGTTTGTATATTTTTCTCTCAAGCCCATTATTAATTAATTTCACCAAATCGATTTGATTAGCGGTATTGTTGATGTAAGAATCCAAATAACATTATTAAGAAAAACATTACTATTAAAAGAATTATCTTCAAAGTAAAAACTAAAGATAAATTTAAAATAAAAAAACAAAATTGTATATTTGGTGAAAATAAAACATGCAAGTGTAGAGTTGTAGAACATACATCTTTTTGACAAAGATATGAAAAAAACACGAAATTAAAAAATTATAAAATATATAACTAATAAACATAGCAACATTTGATTATAAGTTGAATATTCACAATATCTGAAGCATTTTAATTGGGAGAAAAATATTAATTTTATGCATGCTCATAATTCTCATACTTCGTTTGTAATAAGGTAGTTAATAGTTTTCTACAGTTTCGTTCAAAAAAAAAAATTGCTTTCTACAGTTATTAAAACATTTTTTTATACATAATTAGTAAAATATTTTAAAATATATACATATTAATATTAAAATTATGTTAATGTAAGAAAGAAAGCGTTAACGTTTATTTTTAAGGTTGAGTATGTGCTCTTGTCCAAAAACTTACCAAAACAAAATTTAATATCAAATTTGATTAAAAAATGAAACTTAATAAGATAAGATTAGTTATAAACATGAAATACATATATAAATAGATAGATAGTGGAATAATAGGTGGAAAGGATTTCCGTAAAAGAAAACACATGAGATGGGTTTCATTTCATCAGACACCACTATTAAAAATATATAAACTTTAATTCACTATTATTCCGATAAAGCCTAAAACTCCACATCATTTAATATCGAGATTAAAAATAATTTATAAATATTTTTTCTTTAATTCACTCTGATATTTTTTAAGAACAAATTCATGGTAATTTAATATACGTTAAAATGATCAATATTTCAAACACAATAATCTTAACGATAGTAATAAATTTATACTTGAAATAATTATGTTTACCAGTTTGAAACAATCACATATTTTTTCATTTTATCTTGTATTAATTATATGAAGTGTAGCCACTAGTCCCACTAACAATTAATATTTGGTTAAAATATATTTTTAGTTTTTATAATTTCACTTATTTTATTTTTTAGTATTTATAATTTAAAATATTTTTTTTTAATATTACACTTACATTTTTTTTTTAATTTTTTTAGGCTATACTATTAATTTATTTATAATTTTGTCTCTTTTATGTTGTGACAGAGATCTTCATCACGCTCAACCAAAAATAATACTCCCTCCATTTTTTTTCATAGTCGTTTTGTCAGAATTTGTTATTTTTTTTTCATTGTCATTTTACTAAAATCAATGACATTAATTTTTTCTCCATTTTTATCCTCGATAATTAATACATGTTTACTGAACAATGTGTGTATTTATTTTTAATGTCTACCTATTTTTTCTCCAACTACCCATATAAAGTTAATGTGATTTATAAGAACAATATGTTCCCAACAAAATACTATAAAAAAACAAAAAAAGGGACAAGTATAATTAAATACAGTAGGTTAAAGTTTACATTTAATCAATGCATTAATAATTAGTGGAGTAGATTGTAGTTCAACAGTCTCAAAAATACAAAAAAAAATAAAGAGTAAAATAGGAAAGTAAGTAATAAATATTTTTGAAAACTAAAATATCAATAATTTCTTTAAGTCTCGTGCAAAACCTTAAACGACTATAAAAAAAACGGAGAGAATAACATTATGCTCTACTAAAGAAACACACACTTCCACATGATCACAACAATAACACGTCTTTCTATACAAGAACCCTAACCTAGTGTGTTCCATAGCAAGAAAGATGAAAATAAAGTTTTTTCCTACTTGCTTCACAAGCACATCAACAAAGAGAGAAAGAAACCTAATACTTATAAAAAAAATAAATAAAAAAAAAGATTATTGATTTTTCCTCTCCCAAATAATTAAGTGACACATCATCATCCATAAAATCAAATTCAATAGCACCACATGAATTTAATGAGTCTACATCACTCATGTGAAAATTACATTATAAAAAAATTAAGAATAAAAATAAAAAATGATTAAAATGATAAATATAAAAACTATAAATATTTATTTTAAACTATATAGACTAAAAAGTAAAATAAGTAAAAATATTAAAAAAAATTATATTTTAACCCTAGTATTCTTAATATTGATTACTATGGAGTATGAAACAAGCTAGGTTGCTTTACGCACTCTTTAAAAGGATCAATAGTTACTAAAATAATGAAAATAAATATATACCACATGTTTGAAATAATAAGAAACCTCGTACTTCTTTATTAGATTAAAATAAATAAAAACTATTTATAAGAAGAGTTATCGATAATAATTATTAAATTAAAATAAACAACTCATTAAAAGAATATAAATAAATTAGTGCATTATTATCATTATTATAATTGTTTCTAACATAATCCTAATTATAATTATTACTTAAACTAATATTATAATTATCATTATTATTATCAATTATCGTTAGTACTATCAATTATAACCACTACCAA